TAAATAATACTAAAATTATCAATAAAGCAGCAAACATTTTAGTTGATAACGTAAAAATAAATTATCTATCTAAAAAGAAACGCATTTTTTATCACTTTTGCATATTATAAGGAAACAGATTGAACTAGTCTTGAAGTCATCCACCAAGTACACAGCCTGTTCACGAGCAACAAAGTTATATAGCAGCTCCTCCCTGGTCATTAATGTCGCGTAAAAGTCATCGCTGACCGTTCTCGAAGAATTATGGTAGCGGTCGCAGTGTTCTTTTCCTTCCTCTCCCTTAGCATCGCTACATTCTACTAAAAATAAACATGGCGGTTTTAAATAAAGCTGTGATGGCAACGAGGGTGGGTGGTAGGGGGTTAATAAGTGATCGTGTTTGCCTGTTTACCGACGAACTGCTCCCGTCGTTGTTCTATTAAGAAATTCTACTCCCACGGTCCCCATTAGGCGAATTCATTAAATTGCGCGGCAAATATCATTCGTCCCCATTAACCGTAAAATTGATAAGGAACCGACCGATCTCTTTTGTCGGCTGCATACACGCGCGCGCGGGAAAGCGCTTAAAATGGGTCTCACGACGTTAATGGTCGCGACGCGACGGAAGCGCGTTCGACACCTGTGTTCTTCGCGAGTGCATTAAGACAATGAAGATTCCACGTTATTTCATTAGCCCCTTATGGCGCGAGTTCTTCGGCAGTCGCATTGACCCGGGTTATACAGAATGGAAATTTTCGATGATTTTAGGGATTTATTTGTTTCGTAGGTTTTAAATATTGATGGGGAAAACATAGTACTCTTATTATATTGTATAGAAAGAGATGATTGGAGCTACTTTGTCGGTGACGATTTTATAGAAGGCAAAGGAAGTTTTCAATGATTTCAAGGTTTGTTTGTTTCCTAGGTTTTACATATTCACGAGAGAAACATGGTGCTCTTCTTATATTTCCTGAAAATTGAATAATTGGGATATTTATTTGTTTCTTTGAAACGTTGAATTGTAAGTTTTGTACTCTAGGAAAAGATTGTTACTTATAATATTCTATTCTTTTGAATGTTGTTAATATTGTCTTATCCATTCAACGTTAGACAGAAAGAAATAATTCACATTTCACTTCAGGTGGAACAAATCACGGCAGAATACAAGGTCCTCGCTCTTCAATATCATCCGGACAAGAATGAAGGCGACAAGGAAGCCGAACGGAAGTTCCAACAATTAAAGGTTCGTTTTGCTTTCGCGCGAGAGGAATAATTCAAACACTTGTAAATATATTTGATTCGTTTCGCTTCGCCAATCGCATCAAATCCATCTGACATACAAACCGGTTGACAGAATGAGTCACCGGGAAGTAATTGCGCGATCGTGTGATTTTTTGCGGCGGTTTACCTTGCCGACGACAATGCCATGCGTTGATTTTAGAATTGTACACTTTACAGTAAAACGAGAATAACGCCTCATGCTAACGAATATTTGTGAATATATTTCAATTAATTTACGAAAATTTATATTTGATTTTCCAAGTGTCTTAACTCTAGAATTATTAATCCATACGTTTAATTTGTAGAAGATTTTACAAAACGATCGACTTCATGGTAGCTTCAATTCTAAATTTATCTTGAAATATTAAATATGCAATTTGTTCTGAATTCTGAAATTTGAAAGTTATCCCACATTGATCCTGTGATGATGCAGCATAGGGACTAGTATCCATTGCTCGCGAGCGCCGCGATCAAACACGCGACCGTCATTTTTCTTTCATTTTTCTTCTTTTCCGTTTATTTCTGCAGCACGCGAAAGAGGTTCTTTGCGACCCCGAAAAGAGAAGCAACTACGACAAATGGAGGCGCAGCGGGATCGCCATCAGCTACAAGCAGTGGCTCGGAATGAAGGAGCATGTTCACCAAGTGAGTAGTAGTACGATGGAAATTCCATTGCAAGGCTCGGCGAACAATAGAACGCAAAATAGTTGAACGGTTCGCACAAGGAATTTTTCTTCCAATTTCCTATGGAATCTCGGGACTCCTTTTTCAAGATAATGCTTCACAGCTTGCTTCGCGATCCAAAATCGGAAGAAAGCGCGGCATTTTCATAGAAATTTCCATTGAATTTAATCATAGAAAGCAGAACGGTTTATTTATTTGCGGATACCGGAGTAGAATTTTGTACTTGTGGCTGTAGAACTTTTAACGAGAATTATTTAAGGTGGTCGGGTTGAAACTACATTGATTCGGAGCTACTGTGAAAGAGAAATATATTTTTGTACTTCTGAGGTATTATTGAGGAACACGCTTTGAATATTTTATTATTTTTAACGGCCTGGAGTTTGCAGTTGAAATTGTTTGATAATAAGCTCTTATATTTTGTTTTTTGGGTTTCGCTTTACGGTGGGAATGGTTTCTTGAAGTCTTTCGCTTGGGTGCTTTTATTTCATGGAGTTGGAGAATGGGGAAGGAACCTTCATCATCGGAACATTGCTTTTTTCAAATATTTGATCAACATCTGTTCCAGTAAACTTTGGCGAAACATAAAATTCAGTTTTGTTAACTAAAAAATTGAAGCACGATGATACACATTATCAATCAAGTATTCGTATTATCCATTCAAAGTTCAATTAATCGATGAATCTATCAATTAATAACCATTTAAAACTCATTCTACCATTCACTATAATAAGAATTCCATCTCCAATTCACAAAATCAATCATCAATTCATAAAATGACTCGAAAAATGACTTCCCTCGCGCTTCAATGTATCCAATGATAGAGGTTCCAAACTACACGCACGCTGTTGCTTTTCGCCAAAAAAGACGCAAAAATGGGGAGAAAAGAATATCGAAATAAGAAAAGCAAATCGAATGCGTCGTAGTCGATGCACTGGAGCACACCGAAGACGAAGGATCGCATGCTGCAGGACGGTTCGGGGGATGCAGCTGGTGCACCGGGGCAGACCAAGGTCCAGCCGGCGAACGCTCACAGAAGAGCGTCGGAAGGAGGGGCAAACATCTACTACGGGTCACGACGCGACCATGGATGGGACATGGATGCGCCTAGCGTAGTGGTCAGCAAGTTTCGCAACTACGAAATCTAAGAGGG